GGTAGCCCCGCCTGTCTTTACCGGTCTGCCCTTCCGGGCAGCTGGAGGGATTCCCTGACCCTCCTGCCCTGCCAGCTTGTTTCCAACATACATTTAGTATAATAAATGAATGTCTAGATGTCCGCACCTCCATTCAGCAATTCAGCATTTGCCATGTTTGCCTCATCTGCTATATTTTATGCTGAATTTTGAACTGCTGTTCACATTTGTGACATTTACCACCTTAATGCTTCAGCAGGCATCTCCTAAGAATAAGGACTTCTACAGATTCATGGTGCTGTTATCACACCTGAGGTGGTTCTTTATAACATGTATTTACTAATATCTTCCCCATAGCCATGCTATTCTTGAATTTCCCCAGTTGTCCTGAAAATGTTTTGCAAACCAGGATTTACTCAAGGTACATGTTGTCTCTGGCCTATTTTAATCTAGTTCAGCTCTTGGTCTCCCTTCCCACCCATGACATTGATTTTTTTGGATAAGCCAGGCTAGTTGTCTTCTAGAAGGTTCCAAACTGTGGATGTGTCATATTATTACCTTTTGGTGCTATTTACTTTGTTCCTCTGTGCCTATATTTCCTGTAAACCTGAAATTAGGTCTGGAGCAGGGTTGGTAAACTATGGCCTGGTCTCCCGTTTTGTAAATAAAGTTTTATTGAAACACAACCACACCCATGTCTGTTTTTCCCCTGCTATGGCAGAGTTGAGTAGTTGTGACAGACACCATGTGGTCTGCAAAACCGAAAATATTTACTGTTTGGCCTTTTACAGGAAAAGTTTGCAAACCCTGGTCTTGGCAGATATGCTTAATAGTATACTACATTAGTGTGATTTTTTTTTTAAAGCTTTTATTGGGAAATTGGGGGGAGGGAACAGTGTTGGGGAATCGGGAAAGGGGAACAGACAAGTTGCTGTCCTTTGGTTCTTCAGTCTAGTTGTGGAGGACATCACTTCACTGGCCCATGTTGGTATTGTGATCATTGCGCTCTTCCTGGCTGAGGCAGATCAGTCACTGTCCATTGGACAGCTGCTCACAGGGGCTCACGGCAGCTCTCGCCGGCCGCCGGCCGCTCACTCTGGCTGCCGGCCACTCACGGTAGCTTATGGCAGCCCACTGCAGCCTACATTGTCACTGGCACCTCATGGTAGCCCAGCTCCAGGTCGAGCTGTTGTTCACCGTCCTAGCTCTAGAGGGCGCAGCATCACTGGCCCATGTGGGGTCCAAACCNTTAAAAAACTACAGCCATCTTAGTGATTGTGAAGTGGTTGGTATCTTATCATTGTTTTGATTTGCTTTTCCCTAATGACTAATGGTGTTAAGTATCTTTTCATGTGCTTGTTGGCCATTTGTATATCTTTGGAGAAATCCCTATTTCAAGTTCTTTGCCCATTTTATAATCAGGCTGTTTGTCTCTTTGTTGTTGAGTTGTAAGAGTTCTTTATATATTCTGGATACTGAACCCTTATTAGATAATGTGATTTGCAAATAATTTTTTTTGCCCATTCTTTTGGTTGTGTTTTTATTTTCTTGATAATGTCCTTTGTACAAAAGTTTTTAATGAGTCCACTTTTTTTTTTTCTCTTGTTGCTTGTACTTTTGGTGTCATATCTAAGAATCTGTTGCCAATCCAAGTTCTGGAAGATTTACCCCTATGTATTCTTCCAAGGGTTTTGTAGTTTTATCTCTTGCATTTAAGTAGATCCATTTTGAGTTAATTTTTCTGTGTGACATATGGTGTGAGGTAGGGGTCCAACTCTGTTCTTTTATTTTTTTATTTTTTATTTTATTTATTTTTTTAGCTGAGCCATCCTGCCACCTGTTGGCAGCTCAGCGGCAGCTCAGCTTGGGCCAGACTCGAACCGCTGTTGTTCAGAGCTCAAACCCTTGAGTGAGCTCTTAACCAACTGAGCCACTCGGCCAGCCCTTTCCAACAGCCCTTTCCAACTCTGTTCTTTTGCATGTGGATATCCAGTTGTCCCAGCACCATTTGTTGAAGAGACCAGTCTTTTCCAGTTGAATGGTCTTGTCACTTTTGTTGAAAATCAGTTGGCTGTAAATGTGTGTGTGTTTTTTTGTGTTTTTTTTTTAACTCTCAATTCTATTCATTGTTCTATATGTCTGTCTATCCTTACACCACACTGATTCAATTACTGTAACTTTATAGTAAGTTCTGAAATTGGGAAGTGTGAATCCTTTTACTTTGTTCTTTTTCAATATTGTTTTGGCTGTTTGGGACCCCATACCATGTGAATTTACCTTCCATGTAAATTTTGAGGATTGGCTTTTTCATTTCTGCAAAAGAGACTGTTGGAATTTTGATAGGGGATGTTTTGAATCTGTAGATCACTTTGGGTAGTGTTGTCATCTTAAATATATCAAGTGTTCTAGTCTGTGAACACAGGATGTCTTTGTATTATTTAGGTCTTCTGTTTCTTTCAGCAGTATTTTGTAGTTTTTAGTGTATAAATCTTTCATCTCCTTATGCTGTTGAAAACAGTTTTATTAATTTCTTTTTTGGGTTGTTTACTATTGGGTTGTTTATACAACTGATTTTTGTTATTTTGCTGAATTTGTTTATTAGCTCTAGTAATTATTTTGTGGATTCTTTGATTTTCTATTGGCTTGTCAGAAAAGTCATGATGTATTTTTCTGTTTTTCATTGCAAAAATGCGTCATGACTTTTAAGACAATCCAATATATATAGGATCATGTTATCTGCAAATAAACATAGTTATACGTATTCCTTCACATTAGATCCCTTTTATCTTTTTATTTTTCTCTGGCCAGAACATCAAGTTCAGTGTTTAATAGCATTGGTGAAAGTGGACACCTTTGTCTTGTTCCTGATCTTAGGGGAAAGCTTTCAGTCCTTCATTGAGTATGATGCTAGCTGTGGGTTTTTCATAGATGCCCTTTATCATGAGGAGGAAATTCCCTTCTATTCCATACAATATCCTATTAGTTTCTATTCCTACTTTGCTGAGTGTTTTTTTTTTTTATCATGAAATGGTGTTGGATTTTGTCAAATGCTATTTCTGCCTCAGTTGACATGATGATTTTTTTTTTCTTTCATTCTATTGTGTAGTACATTGATTGCTTTTCATATATGGAACCTCCCCTGCATTCTTGTACTACTTGGTCATGGTGTATAATCCTTTTAATCTGCTACTGAATTTGGGGTTTTGCTAGTTTTTAAACTTTATATACATGGAATCATTTTGTATCTACATTTGAAAGAATTTAGTAAGTTAAAACCTATAAGATACTTAGGACAGTACCTGGCATAAAATATCATTATAGTGTTATCTAATCATCATCATATCATCTTCTTCATCTTCATCATCATCATCAATTAATGCATATCCCCGTAAGAGAAAATAAACACTCAGAGAAGTGAAGTGACTTACTGGTGTCCACATAGCAAATACAGCTCAGAGCACACCCTGCCATCCTGTCTCACACGTGCCATGTGAGTTGAGTGCCTGCAGTGTGCTGGGCCCTCAACTGGTGCTTTATGGTTGTGATCTCATTTTTTTTTTTTTTAATAACTTGAGATATAGTTCACATACCATACAGTTCAGCCATTTAAAGTGTACAGTTCAGTGACTTAGTATTCAGAGTTGTGCATCCATCACCACAGTCAATTTTAGCACATTTCACTACCACTCCCCTGCCTGCCCTCTCGTTCACCCTCTCACCCAGATGCCCCTTGTGAGGCACTTTCACACCTGGCTGCCTGCCCTGACCTCTCTCCCTCCCCATCCTTCTCCAGGCCTTCACCTTCCAATCTCTCCCCAGACTCTCCCCCACCCTCAGCCCTAGCGACTGCTAATCTACTGTTCATGTATACAGACTTGCTTAGTCTGGACATTTTTATATAAATGAAATCTAATTTGTGGTCCTCTGTGACAACGTTTCTTTCACTTAAACATAAGTTATGGTTCATCCATGTTGTAGCAGCCATACCTTTTTTTTTTTAAAGGCCGAATAATATTCTATTGTATGGATATGACACGTTTTGTTTATTAATTCATTAGTTGATGCACTTCTGGATTGTTTTCACTTTGTACGATCATGACTAATGCTGCTATGGACATTTACGTACAAGTTTTTGTTTCATCATCTTTTTTTTTCGAGAGCTTAAATAGCATTTTATTTTACTGATTTATTTTTCGAATTTTATTTACTCATTTTATTGACATGTAATTGACATACAATATCCTGTTAGTTTCAGGTGTACATCATAGTGATTTGATATTTATATACATTATGAAAATGATCCCCACGATAAGCCTAGTTACCACAAGTCACCATACAAAGTTATTACAATATTATTGAATGTATTTATGCTGTACTTTACATTCCTGTGACTTATTTCATAACTGGAAGTTTGTGCCTCTAATTCCTTTCACCTATTTCACACCCCATCTCATGTTAATTCTGAGCAGCCCTCTGAGGAGTGGGTCCTCAAGAGTGTGTGTGTGTGTGTATGTGTGTATGTGTTTGTGTGCACATACAGGTGCTTGGATATTCATGGTTAGAACAAATGGAAAGGGTCAGGGGAGACTTGGAGGGCAGAGCAGCAGTTATACCCGGCCTGGCACAGTGTTTTGACATTTGATCCACCTGCACGGCTGTACTGGTGAATACCAGCCCATGGGATTTGGCCTTACAGGGCCACAGGGCATGTGTGTTTGGAAGCCTGGGCCTCTCCTGGGACTGGGCCACGTGCTGGCAAGGATGGTTTGCTGCTGGCCACACGCTGAGGCAGCTGGTGCCCTGGGGCACTGCAGTAGGCGCCTTCCTGCCAGGCATGACCTCTGAATCACTGGGCCCAGCCTGGCACCTAGCCTGCATCAGCAGGGGCTGCCTCAAGGGTTTCTCTGGGAGAGGCACTGTCTTGCCCACCCTCTGGTCCACCCTTCTCCCACCCAGGTGCCCCCTGTGAGGCACTTCACATCCACGCTGCCTGCCCTGACCTCTCTCCCTCCTTGGTTCAGGTGAATACATAAAGACCTGGAGGCCCCGGTACTTCCTGCTGAAGAGTGATGGCTCCTTCATTGGATATAAGGAACGGCCCGAGGCCCCTGACCAGACCCTGCCCCCCCTAAACAACTTCTCCGTTGCAGGTGCGTCTTGGGGTGGGTGGATGGGAGGGCCAGAGTTTGGGTGCTCAGAGAATGGTGACAGGTAGGTCTTGGGGACACTTGGGGGTTGGCTGTTTTGGGGCTGTGGGCCTGTTTACCCTGCTTCTCACCCTTCCCCCGCTCCACCTTTGTGTCAGTTGGGCCCAGGGGGCTATACTGGTGGGTTGAGGGAACATGGGAAGCAGGGAGAAGCCAGGTACTTGCCCAGCCCCCCGCCCCAGGCAGCACTGCTTCTGTGGTCCTGGCTGCTGCCGGCCAGCCCTGGGGTTCTCGCGGGTGTCAGGTGCCCCTGCATTCTGGTAATAGCCTGCTTCTCTGTCCCTCTAACCAAGAGGCAGCCATGGCCTCCGTCTCAGATGACTTCAGGGCTAACCTCATGTCCTCCGTCCCCTCCGTGGTATCCAAATGGTGTCTTCTAGCTGGATCCTGCCCAGGGAAAGCTTGGCAGGCCAAAAGCCCTTGCCTGGGCCTTGCAGAGCCACGGTGCTGCCTCTGATCCCCTGCTTCCTTCCCTCCCTGCTGACCTGATTGGTCACCACATCACCACATCCTCGGTGTCTTACCTCCTAAGAAATTGTAAAGACACCCCCATCTTCACTGTCACTCCTTAGCCGAGACCACTGTCTTCCCCTACCTAGCTCCCTGCCCCAGGTTCTTGCCGGGTCTCACCGCTTGAGTCTAGCCCAACCCACTCTCTCTGGAATCCAGCCCCAGTTCCCTCTCTGGTTGCCTTTGCTATGGGCTGGTGACTCCCGACATGGCTGTTCCCAGCCCTGGCTTCTCACCTGAATGGCCAGCCTGTCCTGAGCAGCTTCCTATATGTTTCTCCCTGGGTGTCCTCTAGGTCCTTCATACCCACCATGTCCAAAACTGGCCTACTAGTCTCCCCTCTTCTGCCCCAACTTTCTCCTACTTCCTGTCTCCATCTAGGGAAGGGCCCTATTGCTTCCTACTCCTCAGGCCACAGGCTTAGTTAGGCCTCATCCTAGGTGTCCCTCTACCCACCTCTGGCATGTCTACCTGCCCTTTCCTCCCCGCTCCCCCGTGGCTCCACTCTGGCGCCTCCTCTCTGCACTCCCAGCCTCCGTTCTCTCTCATCCTCTACGTGGCAGCCAGAGGGATCTGGCTAAGTCTGTTTATGACCCGACCCTATTTAAGCCTTCCATCGCTCCCTATTGCCTTCAGGACAAAGTCCAGGTTTCTTGCCATGCCCCTGAGCCCTGTAGGCTGGCCCCTCCCACCTCTCCAGCCTGTCCCTTACTTTTCCGCTCCTCACACCTAGAACAGAATTTGCTATTCCCTAGGTGTGCTGGGCCCTCTGGCACCTCTAGGCTCTGGACATGATGCACCCTTCTGTCTAACTGACCATGTTCCCTCTTCCTTCAGGGCTCAGTACAGAAATGCCCCCTTCCTTTGGGAGACGCCCTGTGATTCCCCCACCACAGCCCTGACCACTGAACCATCATTGTCTTATGGTCTGTCACACACACACTGAATCTTGAGCCCCATGGGGACACGTCTAGGGCTGTCTCAGTCACTAAAGTGTCCCCAACACCATCTGGCATGGGAATGGCACAGGAGGTGGCTTGGGGAATGTGGGCTGCAGGCCAGCAGGGCTGTCCCCTCACTCTTCCATCTCTGTCCTTCCTCTGCCTGTAGAATGCCAGCTGATGAAGACCGAGAGACCGAGGCCCAACACCTTTGTCATACGCTGCCTGCAGTGGACCACAGTCATTGAGAGGACCTTCCATGTAGACTCTCCAGATGAGAGGCGAGTCTGGGCCTCTGTGTGGCCGCCCTTTGAGAGTGGACAGGCCCAGTGAGGAGAATGGGTGCAGATGGACAGATTCCCCTGGGCCCCTCCTTAGCAGTTTCCCGTCTCAACCCTTCTAGCATAGGGGTCTCCCCAGCTGGAGCTAGGAAAAGCACGGGTTCTCAGTGTACAGACACCCCTACAGTCCAAGGACTGGAGGGTGCATTGGGATCACGGACAGAGCTTGGAAACAGTACAGAGCTCAGAGCCACTTCAGGGCCTCTGATTGTCTGGAGATCTGTGGAGGATCCGGGAGCTGCATTTTTAATAAACATCTCCATTGATTGTGAGGCAGGCAGTCCAGAGATTCAGTTTTTAAAAGATCAGTGTAATAATCAGAAGAGATGATACAGTTCTGGTTCAAAAATCTGCTCGATTTTTGTGTAAGCAGGTGTCCAGTGGAAGCTTCATTTGACCCCCTCTCCCCACACCTCCCCATGTGTGTCCTCTCATGTCCCCACACGCTACTCTCATGTGTCCTGCAAGAGCTTCTCACAGGGATAAGCTTACTTGGATAGAGACTTGTGTGCCCTACTCCTTTTGTTTTTCTTTCTTTTAAAGATTTTATTGGGGAATTAGGGGAGGGGAACAGATAAGTTCTGTCCTTTTGTTTTTCAGTCTAGTTGTGGAGGACGTCGCTTCACTGGCCCATGTTGGTATTTTCATTGCTCTCTTCCTAGGTGAGGCAGTCGCTCGCCGGCCATTGGGCGGCGGCTCACGGCAGCTCACGAAAGCTCAAGCCCGCTGCCGGCCAGCCCCACTGCAGCCTATGCTGTTGCTGGCGACTCACGGCAGCCCAGCTCCAGGTCGAGCTGTTGTTCACCATCTTAGCTGTAGAGGGC